AAAAACAAGCCTCCACAATCCTCGTGATCCCTCCCCCACGACACTGGGGTTACAGGCACAAGTGTCCAAGTCAACCTTTATACATTGATGCTGAGGATTCAAATTCAGGTCCTATGCTTGCACAGCAAGCACTTTAACCCACTGATCCATCTTCAAGCTCCAAGCTCCTAGCTTTGAAAATGTTATTTGAGAGTCACTCCATTAAATTTTAATTTCTAAATAGATACTTTTCCCTAGGAAAATATGCAAACAGCTAGTAAACAAATGAAAATTTTCTCTACATCATTAGTTATCCAAGAAATGGAAATAGGGCTCACAATGAAATAGCATAATAATACTCTCTAGAAGTTCCATAATTAAAAAGATAGACAGTAGAAAGCATTATAAAGGATGTGGAGGCATTGGAGCAGTTAGACACAATTAGTGGGCTGTAAAATGTCATCACTTTAGAAGAGTCTAGCATTGTTACAAACTGTTAGCTATGTAATTACCATTTATGAAGCACTTCCATACATATACCTAAGACAAGGAGCTCATGTGTAGACTCTGAAAAGGAAAACTCACATAAAATCCAAAGATTACATATGGAATTTTATAGAAAAATTATTATAAATAGATAAAAGACAAATAGAGTCTACATATCTAGCAGCTAATCAATGAAAAATAAAAGTATGTTCTATTCATAAATGGGAATATTATTTATCAAACAAAAATAAATGAAACACTAGTACATGGCAGTGGATAAATTATTATTGAAACATTTTATTCTGCTTGCTTGAAACTAGTTATAAAGAGTATATATTTTATATCTTTATTTAGTTTTAATATCTAGAATAAGCAAACTTATACGTACTAAAATATATTCACAGCTTCATGGATGGAGATGATAAAGGAAAAAAAAGCATAGCTGAATGGTGAAGGGTCCCCTTCTATTTCAGTAAAAAAATTTTAAATTTATTATGGTCATGTACACCTATCTCTGTGAATATATTAGAAGCCAATTGCATTTTAAGTGAATCAATTATATAGATACATGAAATGCATTCCAATAAAGCCACTGCAAAACAACTCTAACAGAAATGAAAACAAAATGTTTACATACCAGAAAACATTTTCAAGTCATAAATGCAAACAACTTCAGAAGTTTCAGAATAGATATAAGCCTTAAGGACCTTGGAAGGCAAACCCAAAGCAATTCATGATATAGAGTAGTTTCTGAGATCCTGGCCTAAGCTGAAAACTCAAGCAATGTTTACTCTGTAACTTAGCACAGTAGGTCTTTTAAGGCTAGGGACTAGAATTCCATTTCTTCCAAACACTATGTGAAGGGACATAACTGTGGAATAATGACATAAAAACATTACATATGGAGCATTAGGGCTCTAGGGATAAAAGCCTTCACATTCCAAGACAGTAGTAATTTTTGAGGGCAAAAGGCTTTATTTTTTTTATTTTTTTTAAATTGGTAACAACCATGCTTCACATGTCAATCCCAGCTCCCTCTCCCTCCCCTCCTCCCCTACCCTTCCAAGCCCCCACTCCATCTCCCCTCTGCTTCCCAGGGATGGTGAGGCCCTCCATTGGGGATCTCAAAAGTCTGTCATATCATCGCAGGCAGGGCCTAGGCCCTCCCCTATGTGTCCAGACTGTGACAGCATCCCTCCATGTGGAATGGGCACCCAAATTCCATTTCTGTGCCAGGGATAAATACTGGTCTACTACCCGAGGATTCATAGAGTGCCAAGGCCTCCTCATTGACACCCACATTCAGGGTGTCTGGATCAGCCCCATGCTGGCCTCTCAGCCATCAGCCTGGTGTCTTTGATTTCCTCCCTGTTCAGGTCAGCTGTCTCTGTGGATTTCACCAGCCTGGTCTTCACCCCATTGCTCATCACTTGTCCCTTTCTGCAAATGGGTTCCAGGAGTTCAGTTCAGTGTTTATCTGTGGGTGTCTGCCTCTGCTTCCATCAAAAACTGGATGAATGCACTAGGGTGGCATATAAGATAGTCATCAATCTCATTATCCAGGAAGGGCACTTAAGGTAGCCTCTCCACTATTGCTTAGATTGCCTGTTGGTGTCATCCTTGTAGATCTCTGGAAACCTCCCTAGTGCCAGATTTCTCTTTAAACCTATAATGGTTCCCTCTGTTATGATATCTCTTATCTTGCTCTCCCATTTACACAATGGAGTACTACTCACTGGGAAAAAAAAACAAAAAACAATGGAATCTTGAAATTTGCAGGCAGATGGATGGCACTAGAATAAACCATCCTGAGTGAGGTAACCTAGTCTCAAAAAAACAAACGTGGTATGGTGGTATGTACTCAGTCATATATGGATTTTAGACAGGGAGAAGGGGATTGCCAGCCTACAATCCTACCACCAGAGAGTCTGGGAAACAGGGAGGACCTTAAGAGGGACATGCATGGTACCCTGAAGAAAGGGAATCTTGCAGGATCTCCTGAGCAAATTGGGAACATGGAGGTCAGGGAAAGGGAGATGGGAGTAAGAGAGGGGGAGAAGAGGAGGAGAGAGGAACACATGGGAGAGCAGGAAGGTTGAGTCAGGGAAAGAATCAAGGCTTTAAAATGTTTTAAGTCCTCTTATTTTATATTAATTTATTTTGAAAAATATAGAACACAAAAAGTAATAGTTCAGCAAAAATCCTAAAGTACTATCAATTGCCAACATCAAAAAAGTAGGGAGAAACACAACATGGACGCAGCATACAATCCCACAGTTTTTTCCTATAGTAATCTTTTGTCCTGTCTGTACCTCATCACTCATTGAGAATGGCCTCTTGGATTTGAACGCCCTTCTGGACTTGGCTCAGTTCACCCTACCTTCCTGTTGCAGACTTGTTTTTGTTTTTGTTCTTTGTTTTTGTTTTTGTTTTTGTTTTTGTTTTGTTCTTTTAAACAAAACTCTGTTTTTCTTTCACTTTGTCTTCATGATGATTTCTGGTTTAGATTTAAAAAGCCCACCCCTTGCTGTCTTACCTTTTTCTTCTTTATACATGCCATAACTTCCCTGTTACAATGTATTGTATACTTCTTTGGGATTATAGTCATGTGTGTCTCCTGCAGTTGACAAATTTCTGGACGAAACAGGAGAACTGCTAATCATTCCCTCTTTTCTCACTCCCTCACTTCACAGATATGATTAAGATATATTCCATCAAATCAAAAGAATAAATATTCCATGACCAAATATGAAAACAGAAAACATTAAAAGACCAGGACTGAAAATGGATTTATTTTCACAAGCAATTATGAAAACAATTATAGTCATTTACTTAAAGTTTCCTCCAGTTACTAAGAAGATTTGTAAATTATGAATTCTTCATACTTTACCTGTAGAGAGCTAAGAAAAATGGAGATATCCCCTGGCTGAGGTAGTTCAACCAGTAAAATATCTAATAGGTACTTCCGAGCACCACAAGAATTGCCTCAGGGATTCTCACAATAAGTTGATTTTTCATATTATACTTAAGATTTATAAAGGTTAAGTTGCTTATCTTTGCCGTTTCAGCAAAACAGGCCATGGGCTTCATATTTGAATTCAAGTATATGATTTCTGAACCACTATTAGAGTCAAATTTTGCTAACACATGCTGCATTGCAGGGGAAACCTGGATGAGCTGTAATGAAATGCATACTACTTAAATATCTGCCATGGCACACTGAAATGATGCATGCTCTGTGGGATCCTTTCTTTACTGATTTGCTTCAATAATAGAGAATAAAATTGGTTTCAAATGTTATAGAGAGAGAATAAGATAAAATAAATGAAAAAGTCAGAGTTCAGTATTTGAAGCAAACCTTTGATAATTGTTTTTTCAAATCTTTGATGCCATCTACTTAGAAAAGAAGTTGGATAATAAAGTTGTTATTTATATAATAATTGCTATAAAATGTGGTATGGTGATTATATAAACATATGTATGTCAAATAACTGTATATAACTATTGCTAACAATTTTGATACACATGTGTATATAAAGTGGCTAAGGGGAAATTTGAATGTGGTCATTTAGAACAAGGTTTTGTAGTACTGATATAATGGGGTTTCCTAGGTGGCCTTTTATTGAGGTGATAATCTAACCAAAAGCAATTTGGAAAGGAAAGTTTTTGTCTCATTTTTGTTTGTTTGTTTGTTTGTTTTGTTTGTTTTTTGTTTCCTTACAGGCTACAGTTCATTACAGGAGGCCAAGGTGAGAAGACAGAGGCAGGAATCAAATTAATATAGAGACCTTGGAGAGATGTTGCTCACTGACTTACCTCCTCTGCCTTGCTCAGCTGATGCCTTTTTTATACAGACAGGTCCATCTGCAGAGGGCCAGTTCTTCTCACAGTGGGCTGGAAAATTGCCCCCATAGACATACCCGCTGGCCAATCAGATGGAGGCATTTTGTCAATTGAGATTTTCTCTTCCTGGGGATTTCTGGTGAGAGAAAAAAGCAGCCATCACGTGGGTATAAATATGACATCTCCATATCTACATGTGTGAAGACAAGTCCCTTTCACCTGCCAACTTTATGACCTCAGGTAAGTCATTCCAAACCTATTAGCCAAAACTTTCTATTCTGCACAATACATATTAATAAAACTTGCTTCATTGTTTGCTAAAAATATGTCATGTATATTTACTAGAGCTTTGAGTATATCAGTCACTCAGTAAATAGATGCCAGACATCTCTATTGACACCACTGAACCAATGGGGAAACTCGGGTTTGATTCCATATCTTGTCTGCATTCTCCCATGCCCAAATGACAATAATCAGAATTTAAGTTTCTGTATAGCTTCAAAACTCACATACTTGTCATATGTAGCATTCAGAGGATGGTGATTCAGTTCCACTCATGGGATTTAGTCTGGGCTCAGCTATTCGATGCTTACAATGATGTCATCTAGCAGAGACAATCTAAATAATCCACCCCAGTAAACAATGAAAAATGCTTTTATTTGCTTCCTGGTAGCAGATAAGCTTGAGATTATTAGGACGGTCTAATTGTGAAAATAAAATTCCAGAAGAATGATACCAATGTATTCTAAATTGACAGAAAGTATAATTACTATTATTAATATATACACAGTTCTTGCATAGAACTTGTTTTTATTTAACAAAATAGGATTAATGATAAATATGCTGTGGTTTTGCACTTACTGCCATTAGAATTACAAGTGTATCAGCATTCTCCCTTTATAAAACCTTTCAACATAAATTAGAGACGTGCTCTTTTTGACAGTGAGGAAAACAGGGCTCTGGAATTTAGCAGGAGTGGGCAAACATTGCAAAGCTGGTGAGGGGTGGAGCAGAACATTTCAACTCATGCTCTGTGACTCTGTGAGGCATCACTCTTATTGGCCCCGAATACTTCCAGCAGGAAATCAGAACACTTGCAATTCAGTCACATTCAATTTCAAGACCAGTGCATTTCTCCACCAACTGACATTTACTTCAGAAACAGCGAGAACCAGTGGCATTTGAAATAAAGAGCAGTCAATGTTCTTTATGCTGGACATAATGCTTATTTAATGTTGACATAATGGAGACAGACTAGTGTAGGGTGAACAATTTTTATTGCAAGGGATCCAGAGCATAGTTGTGTGTATCAAATGAGGCTTCAAGTGCAAAGGCTCCTTGTGGTCACCAGTGGGGATATAGCATGCCATAAACTCATAAAGCGAGGACATGCTTTCCCTGTGTTCTGCCTACCTCTATGAACTGTTTCTATCACCCAGACTTTGTATAACCACTGTTATTTCTATTCCTCCCACAGATGGCCTTCTGTACTCCACTAAGATCTTAGGGGAAAAAAACTAATAAGAAAACAAATACCTAGTGTTTTGTTCTCAATTCTTGCAGTACAAAGAGAAAAGGATGATTTGCTTCTCAGCATGCCAAGGATGTCCTTATCAGAAGTAAATTTCCATAATGTATGGAAACTGACTCATAAATTCTGAGAAGATATACAAGAAAAACCCTTTAAATCAAAGTAAAAAGTGGACAGGCTGTACTTGCTCTTTGCTCTGTGGTTTCTATGCCACAGTTTTCTAATTAAAATCCTGCTTGTAATTGTATTGTTCTTCAAGTTCTTGTTTTAGTTGCATCTGTGTATGATTGACAGCTCCTGTACCCATCTGCTGGAGGGAAAGTGATTAGAACAGTAACCCAAGCAGCACTTTATTTTGATACTTTGCAATGCAGATAATGGTGTGTGTGTGTGTGTGTGTGTGTGTGTGTGTGTGTGTGTGATTGTGCACGCACGCATATGCATGTGTAAAAACACTTCAGGCTCTATGGCTGAGTCCTTTTTGTTTATGTATTTGTATATATCAAATGAGGCTTCAAGTGCATGAACTTCAAGTGGCCACTGGTGGTAATAAACTGCCACAAACAGATGAAGTGAGTATATTGTTTCCCTGTGTTCTGCCTACGTCTATGAAATGTTATGATCAAAATTATGCACAGTGACTGTTATTTGTTCCCCTCCTACAGATAGCTTTTCTGTATTCTATTAAGATCTTGCTTAAAAAATAAAACAATAACTGAACAAAATGTTAGCTGTGTGCCCTTGAATAGCTTAACTTCTAAAAATCCTTCCGTTTTCTAACCCTCAAAATTGTATAATTAGGGTGAATCACCCTTCAGAGTTTTGAGGTATTAAATAGGGTAACATTTGTAATGCCTGGAACAGCTTTGTCATTTGAACTGTCATCATTAAGTGCTAACTATAGTAAATACAAATATACCACCAATCCCCTTAAATTTCTCTGAAATTGGAAAATTAAGCAGCATTATGCTCAATTTACATGTGAAGAAAATGGGCCCAGACTGTTTACATGATGGCATGGTTCTCCTGACTCCCTCAGATAGGAGTCTGGCAAATGCTCTTCCTTCAGAGTAATGACATAGTTTGGGAACTGTCTCAAACTAGCAAACATTATTGAGTGTTCTGAGATTTCTGCAAACATATAAAATAGAAAGATTGTAGTAGATATTGTTATTGTGATCGTGAAGAAGATGATGACTTGTAAATAAGGATAGAGAAGAAATTTCTGCATTGGATAAGCTGAGGCAGGATGATCACAAATTCAAAGCCAGCCTGGTATAGGAAATAAGATCTATCTCAAACAAAACAATACAATGCAGAACACAAAATAGTGGCAGTGAATTTGTACCATCTTTGCCACTGACCTTACTTGGACCCTTGTTGTATGTAAGAATATGTTTTTCTGCCTTAATTTCTGTGTGATAATATGGTGGCTTATAGAATTCTTGCCTGAATTATTTTCCTATCTTTTGCTTTCTTGTTTATAAACCATGAGAGAGAAGTCTCCCATTGGTTTACAGTACCATGCAAGCAAGAATTCCCTCCTTTTGAACAGGCTTTAATCCAATTGGAAAGCTGTTAGTTATCCCTAAGATAAAAATGCATATGGTTGGTGGGTCACAATTTTAATTCCAAAAATCAGGAGGCAGGAGGCAGAGGAAGGTAAATTTCTGTGAGTTCCAGGCCAGCCTTGTCTACAGAGAAAGTTCCAAGACAGTCAGAGCTACACAGGGAAACCCTGTCTGGAAAAGCATTATTGCAACACTGTTACCAGTCCAGTCAAAGGCTTTACAGCTGGGGTCTGCGTACAGATTGACTGCTCTTCTCCTTTGACAGCTCCCACAGTATATTGAGATTCCATGAGAGCCACTGCACAGGGAAAAAGTATCCACGTCAGTTGGGACTTGATTACTCTGAAGCATGTGTAGTCTTTAGATACATTCAAGCTCTAAGAGGCAACAAGAGCCTACACAATTTAGAGAATTTCTTGGACTCCTCTCACCAACTACTTTACAGGGGGATTTTTCATGGTTGGCACTAGGGACTTTGTTAGCTGGTCTATGGTTCTTAGGGTTTTGCTCTATTTTATTAGTGGGTTTTGTCTCTTTGTAATTAAATCAAGGTAATAAAATAACAATTGTCTCCAATTTTCTAAAAGGAAAAGAAAACTACTTTTATCATTTTCTAAAGGCTTTGTGTATGCAATCATGTGGATGAAGATGCACGTGGAGTCAACTGCATGTCCAAAAACCAACCTCCAACGTCATTGCACACACTGTCCATTTTGTTTCCCAAAACAGACTCTCTCACTGGCTTCAGCTTCCCAAGTAGGCTAGTCTGACTGATTCAAGAGCCTTTGGATTACAGCTGTTCCTTCCTTCCCAATAGTGAATACACCATTCCTAGCTTTTTATGTGATTTCTGGGAAACATATTACCTAATAAGCTGAGATACCTCAGCCCCAAAAGAACAAAATTCAAAATGGAAAGTAATGAAAAACTTATAAAACCTTTACAGAATTTCAGACATGATTTCACTTATGGTCAATCGGATGTGAATATAAAATTAACTTGTTCCAACAAGACACTCTTGAAAGTAAAACTAAATAAGGTTTTATATATGTATGTAACTATGTATACATAAACATACTAGACACATAGTATGTGCCATGTGGCATTCCATTTGCATTATACACATTACATATTTACCTCTAATGATATTTATGTCTGCTTATTCACCAATTTTTATATTTGAGAAAAAAGTATAAACTTTAACAATGAGGCCAGGTATTACATATCTGTGGAATCACTGAGTATTTTAAACTAAGGCAAGGTATCATATTGTGAATTAATAAAAATTTAGTATTTTGAAGTGTTCTTTAGTGGATGATTTTATAGTATTTTCCTCCTTCTGCAATGTAAATTTTTTATTTGTATTAAACTGTATTCAACTTGTAAGAGCTAGTAGACCAAGACACCTTCTTCTAAGAGAGTGTCTCCTAGATATGACAGGGAAGTTGCACCCATGGTATCTAAAAATTACAATCACCTAAGTAAGACCTACCTAATGATACTACCCATTGACAAAATGGCTTGTGTAGGGAAATTTTATAAAGCCCCACACTTCAATGATGGCTGCTGAGAAAGGGAGAATCAGACTTCTTTAGGGATAACCCACAGATAGGTTTTCTGGCCCCAATGATCATCCCTACACACATGCACATTTGAACAATATGAACTTGACTCAGTAGGTTGCACATAAACATTCACATACATTTATATAAAATGAAAGAAGCCATGGAAAGGAGTTGGTGTATGGGAATAGTTGGAGGGTGTGAATGAAGGAAACATAGTACTCATAACAAATTATCAATAATTTAAAAAGTTGTAATTAAATTTAACAATCTCCAACAATAAGTTGAGATTGAAAAAACTAAAATCATTAGTATTTGTGTCTCTGCTGCTAAATCCATGTATTCTATCCATTGCACAGGTCTGCCCTTTTTGAACTTTTATGCTGTTGGATGTGATCACATGTATCATACTGAAATCCTTCATCACTAGTGTTATTACCTGTCTTTGGGGACCTCACAAAGCAAAATTCAGTAGCTCTGGAGGATACATTGGTATATTTCCTACAGAGTAGGAGAGAACCCATGATGCAATGAAGGAACTTTTGTGGGCTCCAAATGCACCCTTGAGGAATCCAGACCATCATTACTGAAGTAAAGCAGTATGCTCATGGGAAGAAATTGTGTCCTTCAAATTTACAAGACTATGATCAAGGTTAAGAAAATTGCTCTTGTTTAAAACATGAATTGGGGCTCCACATCATTTTAAAAACTAGTTATTGTCATGCCACTTAAGGTTTCTTCTGTGAGCCACTGCAACCCACAAAGTGTGCATTAAGAATTTTTTATACATACAAAATTTAAGAGAAATTGTCAGAAACTTTAGGGTAAATTTGAAATTATGTTGACAAATAAATCACTGAAAAAGAAACATAAATGATAATTTTAATTTGTATTTTATGATCCATGATTTAATCACTATTCAATGAATTTCAGAAAAGTACAAAAAAAGTTTTGATCTTCTGCCACAAGTGGTATGATAGGTGAATAATAATGTATATATTACTAAGGTAGTTTTTTAGGTGTTTGAAATTCTTCTACTAATGTTACAATCATTTTTAACACATCAAAGTTTCTAGAATGCTCTAAAATTGTATCTCTAGGTCATTCTTCACAGTATGATGTTGTATGAAATATTGTATGTCTAGTCATGGTCACTTTTCTTTGGCTTGTGAAATGTCTTCTCCACAATGGACTTGGCAGCACTGCCTGGAAATCTGCTCTGTCCATGTGTTCCTTCTCCCTCTGGTCCTGATTGTTACCTGGCAATGCTCCTTGGAAAGAAAGGATGAACCTGTGCCATACCAGAATGCTTTATGCTTTTTGACATTTATGGCCATACCTGCCAAATTTCCATTTTGAATTTACATTCTTTGTGATAACAATAAAGACAGGCAATGTTTCTCAAGAATGCGAAAATCAATAATAAAGAGAAAAGCAGATTTATTCTAGTTGTATAAGGAATCCTTAAATAACAAACATACTAGTAACATAATTACAAAGACATATTCAAGAATTTGTTTCACATTTCTATGTTATAGAAGAGTTGTCCTCTCTGCTTTTTAAAGATAAATTTAAAAGTCCAATCCTGGCCTGTAATTACCAAAGCCTCTCAATAAAGCATATGCAGTAAATAATAACTAGGATGGCAAAGCAAAAAGAGGAAGTTAAAAGAGGTAGAAATTCTTCTTACATATACTCTGAACAGAAATGGCCAAAAGCCAATGTGGAGAAAGGCACAAAGTGGAAGATAAAATGTTATTATTGAAAAAGCAGTTGTACACACAATAAAGCTCAAACAAAAACAAAAATTTATAACTACATGACAATCAATTTTAGTTTTTCAATAGGTAGTAGGATGCACTAGAGATATACTTCAGGTGCAAATTTCTATAGAGAATAAATTTATTCCACTGTCCTTGAAAGCAGACAAAAACATTTTCACAGAGGACGGTGTGTGGTCATAAAACAAACACTGCCCAGTTGAACACTTAAGGGAGCCTGTTTAAATATATGACAGAAAGATAATTTACTCTTGGCTTTCTATTTTAATATGGGTGTATGAAGAATAATAGTAACAATCTCATTTAACATTAAAAGAGAAAAAAACCCTAAAGCTTCATTCTAAAACCCTTTAAAGATATCAAACTGTGAAATATGCCCTTGTCTCTGTGTTAGGATTAGATACAAGGAAATGAGAAGCAAATAAAAAAGGAGAAGTGCCATAAACCTAGTTAAATTGCAACAGCAAAAGCACCAAAGATCAATTTCCAACCAACCCATTAAAAGATATTCTACAGTGGCTGCCTTAACTGACTCACCTTGCATGAACCACAAATTATTACCTGTCAAGAAACACAGATAAATGTCTGGGTATGAGAGTTTCTAACTTCTCTAGAAGAATTTAGCCTGACAGTTGGGAGGTTCTTGGCCAATAGAGAAGAAATAAAAGATACAACACACACTATATATTGCATGGCAACCATAAGTGTAGAAACTATCCTTTCACTCTGGGCAGCCATCAGTTTCTCCAAAGGCAAAACAAAGCACAGAGTTATTTGTGGGTGCACATATTTCAATACCATGGGGGCCTGCTAAAACTGTATTAACTGAAGAATCATGCCAACAAATTAACAGAAGCTAGCCTTTATCAGGGGACATTCACACACACACAGAAGTAATAATTTATAAACCCTATGTGAAGACATCTCAGGTGAAATAACAGAAACAAATACATGGGAAGAAGCCATGCATCTTTTTAGATCATTTTGCTAGCCCCCATTAAGTACAACTTGAAAATTGCTCATATAAGTCTGTGTAATAAATTACTCAAAGTTTAATAAACACAGACAATAAAACAGTTGATATCCCTGGCTTCTCTTGCAAACAACTGCATCCAGGTCTCAGCACTCACATCTCAGCTCAGAATTATCCATATCTGAGATATCTGACATGTCTCTCTTTTAAGGCTCCTGCACATATACAGTGCACATGCACTCAAACACACACAGTTGCACAGAAAATAAATTAGATGATGATGATAATTACTATTATTATTATTTGGTATTTAGAAACAGTGCTTTTCTGTGTAACATATTTGGCTGTCCTGGAACTTGCTCTGAAGACCAGGCTGGCCTCGAACTCACAGAGATCCACCAGCCTATGTCTCCTGAATGCTGGGATAAAAGGCAGGCATCACCACTTCCCAGCTATATAATTGTTTTACAGATATTTTCCACAGTCTCTTATACTCCCTATTCATAGAAAACCTTAGATAAATTCTTGTATTCTGGGATCCCTCATAAAACTCTGAAGTTGAGTTGTTGATGGAAGCTGTCCTCTTCATTAGAATAGCCTTATCCTGCTCACTCACTTGGGTGTATGCTTCATTTACTCACGATGTGAGGTCCTCTGATGTGAGGTCCTCCCTGTAGTGGTTCCTTATAACAGATCTTCTTCCATGGTATAGAGACCACAGTTAGGAGTCCCGTGAAAAAACTGAATGGGACAGCAGTTTCAAATAAACCAAATTCTCCCCACATGCATCTTATCCCTCTAGAACATCACAGAAGTATCTAGGATCATTTCAAGTGAATGAATTTCAGAGGTGGAATAATATTCAGTAGTGTTTCTTTAATCTTCCAGGGATGTGGAAGGAAAACACATACAATAAATGTGGGTGATGAACACTGTAGACTTTCCTAGTTCAAGAGGGAGAGAATGAGGTACAGATCTATAACAACTTTGAAATTCACCTAGACAAATGTGGGAAGTTCCTTAAGTAGGACTCAGTCCTGCTGTGTTTTGAAAAGAACTCTTCAAACTGTTCAACACCACCCTCAGAGTTTTGATTATTGTTAGTGTGCAACTGCTTCTGATATCTGCGATACCATTTCTCTGTCATAAATTATACAGCATAGACTTTTATGTGAGTAGATTTCTCAGCTAGTTGTGGGGGATGTTAATATTAGGGATTGTAAAGACTTGTTGTTGTTGTTGTTGTACTATTTCTGTCCCTTTTGCTTCTAGCTTGCAATGTTTCCACATATGTAACTGTTAGAGATTTAATGAACTGCCTATAGTTATTAATAAGGATAATGTCGTTAGACAAAAGTCAGGTTCATACGTCGTCATCAGTTTGGGACTTCTTACCTTTTCCCCCTTTTCTATGAGACAGTACCTTAAGTTGGGATGAGAGGAATGACCACATTTTCAAATTATATTGTAAAGATAAAGCAATCTGAAGACAAAAGTAAGCAAAGTTGGTCTAATTAACGTGTTCATAATTACTCAGGTGACAATTGAAGAGTTCTCATTCCACCAAAAAATCACACAGAAAATAGTAAAATAGACCACTTCTGGGTAACTGGAAATCAAAATATATTTACAAAATGTAAAAGCACATATAAAACTTTCTAGTTCAGGAGGCCAGCCCATTTGGTTTTGTACTTCTATTGCTAACTGTAGTTTAAAAGGATGACCTGGTGTGGTACTCCATATGAGTAATGCCAGCATTTTGGAGGGGCAGCCAAGCCAAATCTGTGAGTGAGGCCTGGTTAGACCACAAAGTGATATTCTGTTTCTGAAAGCTCTTTCTCACACATATGGTACAAAATTTTGTTAGGAGATTGCAAGGTAGGAAGAATACAGATGACATACTTGTTTCTGATATGGGTGCAGTGTGGTAAAGTCTCTTTCTTTGTTTCCATGTACAGTATTGGAAAATGTAACAATCAAGAAATAACAATAGATAACAACAAAGGCCTTAAGAAAATTTTCTTTCTAAACAGGAACAGGAAAAGAGATGGTCTACCTGATCAGAAAATATAATTGTTTTTCACACCACATGTTACAGAAATACCCACAGCCTCATTTACAAAGCTCATTCAAGGTGAACTGAAGCTTAGCCTCAGTCTTTCTATAGCACCCATTTTCTCCACTCCTGAATGACTCCACAAAAAACCCAAATGAGGACCAACATCTTACCCTGCCCTGGGCTAAGGGCAAATCTGGACCTGCATTCTTGTCCACCACTACAGAGCTCCTTTCTCCCATATTCTAGTTGGGATCTGAAATAATAACCCAAAGCCCATGTGTTAAAACAATAAACAAAAACCAACCAACCAAACAAACAGAAAACTTATAATCTCCCTGCTTGGCACTGTGAGGTGCAATGGATCCTTTAAGAGATTATTCCTTGTGAAATGGTTTAGGTCATAGAAGCAAGTGCTCACAAGGGATTATGGGTTCCTGCTCTCCATTAATTCTTCTCACTTCCCTTCAATGAAGTGATTTTAATCTATTGACTCTTTGCCATGATATATGTAATGTCCTATCTTGGTGGTCAATTTGAGATACCTGTAAAGAGAAACCTCAGTTGAAGAACTGCTTCTATGATATTGCAATGTGGACATGTGTATGGAATATTTTCTTGGTTTTAATTTAATTAGGAGTTCCCAGCCCACTATGTATGGGCTCTAAAGGAAAGGTAACTAAATGTAAGCATAGGATTAAGACAGTAAGCAGTGTTCCTCTGATTTTTTTTTCACAAAGAAACCAAGATTACACAATGGAAAAAAGAAAGTATCCTTAGCAAATGGTGCTGATGTAACTGGATGTCTGCATGTAGAAGAATGCAAATGAATCCATATCAATCACCATGCACAGAACTTGAGTCCAGGTGGATCAAAAGCCTCAACAGAAATCAAGATACACTGAACCTGATAGAAGAGAAAGTAGGGAATAACCTTGAATGCATTGCAACAGGAGACAACTTCCTGAACAGCACACCGTAACACAGACACTAAGGTAGATAATTAATAAATGGGACCTCATGAAACCAAAAATCTTCAACAAGGCAAAGGACACCATCAATAGGACAAAATGTTGATTTCTTCAAACTACTGCCATGAAATCTTGTCTTGGCTTCCTTCGATGGCAGATTGTATCTTTTAAGCTAAAAATAAACCCTTTCCTCTTGAAGTTGCTTTGGTCATGGAATTTATTACAGCAATAGAAAGCAAACTACTACAGCAGAGGACTAATGAGAATAAATTTCTAGAATTCCTATATATAAGGATGTACCAATTTCTCCTGTTAGGGTGTCAATGAAAAGTGGTTAATTCGAGCTTAAGTGAAATGATAGGATTCCTCCATCCACTTTCTATTTTCCAGACTTTTTTCTGCTTGTTGCTGTTCTTTGCAGAATTTCACATTGTGAGGTGACATGGTTACCAGCAGCTCCTGAAACTACTCACACACTTACTGGAACCTATGTGAAGTAAAAAAGGCCCCCCTCTCTGATATTTCTAGTGAAAAATCTTGGTGTACAATATTCTTGATATATCTGAGATATTCAGAGAATATTTATGATTAGGACACATTCCCATTTCTCAAGAAATGGCTGGAGAAAAGGAACTAAGGGATTTATGCTATTGATTGCTCTC